AGGGAAGAGCAGATACGGGCTTCAGGGCTACAGATTCGAGCCTGCCTGCAAGTTGTCAAAGGAATTTAGTAGAAATTCAGATGCCCGAGATTTGGGCCTGTAGGGGAAATTGGAATACGGCTTGCTGGTGATGCTTTCTGTCGCTGCAGCTGTTGCTGCTGCTTCAGGAAAGAAGTATCCCGATAGATGATACTAAGAAGAGTGTTCCAACTGAGATTTCTGGCCGAGTATGCCGACAGAGGTTGGTATACAATAGGGAAAACTTGTTGAAGCATTTCTGGCGGCAGAGAAATGCAAATGAGGATTTCTGCTGCACGGAAGGGTCAAGGAAGGGTGAAAGAGGCGTGAATGGAGGATTTTCGGCTGCCTTCAGGGATTCCAGCATCGGGAAAGTGGTCTACAGGGAAAAAGAGGCCTACAGGAAGGATTTCCGGCTATCCACAGGGATATCCAGCGCCAGGGAAGGGGACTGCAGGGAGAAAAGCCTTGCAGGGAGGATTTTCGGCTATCTGTAAGGATTTTCAGCACCGGGGAAGGGGACGGCAGGGAGAAAGAGGCTTGCAAAGAGGATTTTCAGCTTTGGAAGGAGGTTTAACGGTTGTGGAAGGGCACTAAAGAACAAGAATACCCCCTGATTTCCCTTAAGCCAGTTGGTGGAAGTAATTCCACCTCCTACCCATCATCTTATCAACTTCGAGGCGACTGATTTCTTCAATTTTGATTTTTCAAAGGCCCACAACTCCTATTTGCCTCTCAACAACAATGCTTTGAGGTCGTTCCAGACCTCTTTTTTACGGGCACCCCAGAAATTTCATAACAGGATGTTTTTCATTGATTAACCAAAGGGGACGAGACCCCACCATTCGTAATGCTCCCTCTCTTAGTCTTCCACTTATGGCGTTGCTCTTCCACTGGGCCAAGATGAAGATGCTCCTCCTCAAAGTGGGCAATGGAGACTCTTTCCTTGGAACTTTGAACTTCGAACTTCGAAGCTGCGATTTTAGATTGGTGGCTGATTGGCTTGGGCTTGCGGCCATTGCTGGTCTTGGGCGATCCTCCACTAGGATTGTGTAAGGGAGTGGGTTTCAGATAGGGGTGTAAACGAACCGAACACGAACGAACAAAGCTTGTGTTCGTGTTCGGTTCGTTTAAAATTTAGTTTGTTTGAAATAAGCTCATGTTCGTTTCTTAACGAACGAGCCGAACACGAACCGAACGCGAGCTGTTCGCGAACGACGAGCCAGTTTGACATCCCTAATATTAATATATAAAAATAATATTATATATTAATTATATAACTTATATTATATAAATATACAATATCTATATTAGTATATTACTACTATAGTATATTAATATATTATTATTATTATTATTTTATTATATATTATAATTTATAAAATTTAATGTTTTAAAATATAATAAATTATATATATATAATTATTTTATATTATTTTATATTTCAAACAATAACGATTCGAACACGAACGAACGCATCACTGTTCGTGTTTGGTTCGTTTAGTTCGTTTAACTAACCGAACGAAAAAAATTTGTTCGCGTTTGTCTCGTTTACTTATCGAACGAATCTAACACGAACTCATTGACGAACCGAACACGAACTGTTCGCGAACAACGAGCTTTTTTGACAGCCCTAGTTTCAGAACCCTATGATCCACCGTTGTGTCAAACTTGGGTGTGGCATCCTTCTCTAGTCTATGTTGCGCCTCGATGGTGACAGAAGAAGGTTTTTATTCTAACTGAAAACATTGTGGGTCTCATCACCTTTTTATTATTTCCAACACAAAACCTAGTCAAGGCTTCTTACACATCAAACATAAGGATTCAACATCGACGAATGCCATCATTATTAAAAAAAAATATTAAAACATGAAATCTTGACAAAATAAAAGAAAAGAGCACTGCTTGTATTTTAATCTCCATAACTCATGCATGTAGTTACCCCCAAAATTCTAGTGATACTTCTATAGTTGTAAACCCTGCGTGCAACTACTCATGTTGAAGGGAGGCAAAATGAAAGTTAAATCGTGTGACTCGCATCCTAGTGTGACTCCCTTGTTCAGTGCTCGACTACTCTTCTCTATCAAACTCTCTCAATCACTCCCACTCTAGACTCTGCCACAAGTCCACGCTTGGCTCCAACTATTGTCTCTTTTTCCTCTCGCATGCAACATTCTCCAGTGAACTCTTCTCTTTCTTAGCCTTCGCTCTTGTCTCTTAGTCTCACTCGTTTGATCTCATGAGCCCTCTGCCTACCCTCTCTCTCATCTCCTTGTCCCAAATGATACTCTGTTACCTACTTTCATTGAGGCCACCACGTGAGCCCGATAAATTTTGAGTTTAATGACCTTGTCAACTCTTTCACACACGAATGCAAGTATAATTTTTATCTTCTTTATTTTTTTTTCTTTCATTTCCCTCTCGAAATGTGCAACATAGACAAATTATGGAAGATCTTTTATCTTGGGTTTGGCATAAATTGAAGACATCTTGTTGTTGACCTTGGTATGGTTGTGTTTGAAGACCTTTCCTCAGTCATTGATCTTTGGTCGGTTATAGGTTTCTCCCTTTCTCATTGATTTTTGCTTTAGATTATGAGAGTGATTTCATTTTCACTGATGATTATATATGATTAAAATCTGGTAGTATTTTTCAAGACACTGTAGTTTTTCATGCATTCAATCTCTTTGACTTCACTGAAGCAATTGTTTTGTCCACTAACAAAGAAAATAGAAAAGAGAATTATATGGAAAAGGAATCAAATGGACGCAAATTGTTGATGATACTTGGGATTTTTGAAGTATCATTTCTCATTGGCTTAACTGAATTGAAGTCCTCCGACCATGAATAATTTATCTAATCACGTTTAAATACCACCTCTTTATTGTATGCTTTTGGTTCAATTTCTTCTCTCTCGATCTTTTATTTGAATATAGTAAGTGGGCTTTTTCTTCTTGAAGACTCTGTTTGATCGAAAATTTATTATTACCTTTTGAACCACTCTTAGATGATGGAAATCATGGTCATTTTGTTGCTATGATGTTTCTTTATGTTCATAAATTCGGTTGATGGCACGTACATTGTAGGTCCACATTGCTTATGGAATGAGGTCATAAGTCTCATCATTAAGCTGACTCCAATACTAAATCACATGCTCTATGCAAGAGATTTATAGGAGCCTGCTTGTAAGCCTTTGACCTTCTGTGCAACTCACAAATTCGGTACTAAGCTTTAGACTTTAAATATAGTTTCCAAATACTAATGCAAATCTACATTGGGCATTCTTTGACATTTGAGATTGTAATCCTCAGTGGTGCAATTTTGTTGGTGCAGATGCCACAAGCTTAAAAAAACACAAGCAAACATGTCAAAAACTCTACTTATGGGCTTTCCTCTTCCATGAGGCTTAAAATCAAGCTTATTGGTTGCCTTTTATTTAGAGGTTATAAATTTTATCAAGGAATTTTTTTTGCAATCATAGTTGTAAATCCCATCTTATAGGTGCTTTTATGGATATAATTCCCAATCCAATTAACTTTGACATGTTTAAAGTCATCAGTCTTTCCAAATTAAACAATGTATGTCTTTCTAAGATGTATGTTGAATTGAATGCGATGAACACATGTTTATGATGACTGTTTGCCCGACTGACTGTAATTGAGCAACCCTTGATGGTACTAGTGGGGAAACACTAATGTATCGGTGCACGTAAATGAAAAATGATATTGATAATGATGTGTCTTAATTAACAAAGTTTTTAGACGGTTCCCTATGACGGTTGTATGTATATGAAATTATGTTGACCCATTTGAATAACATGTCAAATATTTATATTGATTTATAAAAAAAACTTAACTGACATGCATATTGTTTCTTCTTTTCTTTGTATTGTTGTAGTTTAGAAGTATAAGTATTCACTGACTTGTTTAGTTCACAATTGTTTTAACTAAATTTTCAGATTTAATTAAATTATTAAAATATGAGCGATAGACGAGAAAATATTTATAGAAGACGCAGACAACCATCAATGAAGTAATTTTAATTTTATCGTTTTAATTTAATTTGTAGTGGCTCTTTCAGCTGTTAGATTGCAGACGAATATAGAAAATTTAACTCACACCGTTCGACCATCTGTACTCGCTTTGGTTAATTCCAAGTTCCGGGCCTAGTCGTGACAGTCAATATATAAAACACCTTTTTGAGAGAGAGGCACTTCCACTTTGATCTACTTGGGACGCTTAAGAGGGGGCAACCCATGGTTCTTAACATGACTTTTGAGATGTTATGGCTCAAAGCTTCCTGCATGGTGCATCTCTTTTTATGCTTTTTTAAAATTGCATGTTTCATATTTATCATCCATCTCATTTTCTTTATGGTCATTAAGCACATGTTAAGGTAATAGATCGGCTTTAGAGCCATTCATCATTCATTTCTCTAAAATTCTACATTTGTCTTAATTCTTGGTAAATGATTTGTGACAATTAACTATTAAGAGGTATTATTCTTTCCCGTCGATCATCATAAATTGGTTTATCCATTCTTGATATTCAGCTATCTTTTATTATGTATGTTGCTTATATTGTGTAAACCAATTTTTTTAAGGGGCATTACATATATATCACTCAATTCCTATTAACTTACATATCCAAGATCTAAATTTTTCTTCTTATATTCAGACCACCCAAAAATTTCAATGACATGAATAATGCCACTATTTTAACTTTTAAAAAATGAAATATATTTTTTAGTGCATGGGGAAGTGGTATGTATGTAAAAATTGAAGTGTTAGATATGTAAATACAAATGAATTGAGTGGTATTTATGTATATCTTTTCAATTTTTAAATTACGCTTTCTTGATAATGTTAGCATGTAGTATCACATATTCTATATTCCTCAGTTTCAACAATAATTTTGTGACTACGGAACGCTTGAACTTGTATGATATGCCTTTCAGCTGTTCATTAACATCTATTTTGACAGGTCTCGAGTTACCGTGCATCCGTTAGTAGTTTCAGAGAGTGTGCAAGTCATGAATCGAAGGTTCCAGTAGTGAAAGTACCTCGTAAACTTTGCCAGTCATTTCAACTTTGTACTTTTCCAACTCTTCCTGTGAAGGTTTGTGATTTTTTCCTGTTATTAAAGCATGTTAAAAATATATTTCCTCATGTTTACTGCATAATTTTTTTGAAACATGGACCACCTCTACTGTTTTTTAAATTGTTTATTTACTGTTTTTTGCTTGCTTTATAGAATTTCCCTGTTTTTTGCTTGCTTTATAGAATTTCCTGATTGGGATTTGTTCAAAATTGGGATCCAGTATGCTGGTGTTAATTATTGATTTGGAAGATTTACATAGATACTATTCAATTCCTATGTATTTTGATATGTAGCATCTAAACTTCAATTTTTACATAGTACTACCTTTCCCATGCATGAGAACGTTATTTCGCTATTTAAAAGTTAAACATGTATGTGATATGAAAGATTTGGGTTGTATAAACACAAACTTTAGGTGTTAGATATGTAACTCATAGGAATTGGGTGCTATGTATTTAAATGTCCCTATTGATTTTTATTTTACTCCAAATAAGTGAATTGTGTTTTTTTTTTCTGGCTGATAATGTACTTGTTTGCATACATAATATGTAATCTGCTGCGTCTTACAAAATGATTCATATAACTCCATCCAGCTGAGGGTGAACTTAACCTTCTCCAAATTTGAATTACAATGCTAAATCATCCTAGTCATGCTCGACACTGTTGCCATTTTTTCTTCATTGTTTTTGTGGAATTTAGGAGGAATATTTTTAGAGGAAAATATCCATTAAACCAATGCAAGCAAATAACAAATGTATGTACAACTCAGAATAACTCTCATACAATTGGAGGTTAATTCAAATAATCATGATAAGAATGAAATAACTAAAAATGCAATGGAAATTAAGGGAGATTAATTTATCCACCTAAAATGTAGCAGTGGACCCAAGGTTTCTTAAACCATGGGTGGGCCCATGTGGTCTATGGTTATATGCATATCAACGCTCCCCCTCAAGATGGGTTGTATGTGTCATGCATCCCAAATTTGGTGTTGAGATCAGTAACGGGATGCCAAGGAAGAGCCTTGGTAAACATGCGAACAATCTGATGATAAGTTGGGATATAGCTTAGTTGAACAACCCCTTTATTGAACATATCAAAGATAAAGTGTCTGTCAATCTCTATATGTTTTGTTCAAATATGATGTTTCAAATTCTTTGAAATACTAATGGTTAATTGACTGTCAATGAACATCTTAATAATGGTTTTTTTCATGTGTAATTCCACCAATAATTTTCTTAGCCACATCCTTCCACAAATTTCTAGGGTCAGGGCATGATATTCAGATTCTGCACTACTTCTTGCCACCACCACATACTGTTGACCTCATTTTTGGTGAGGTTTCTTCTTCTTCTTAGAGCCTAGGGTCTAGACTTAGGACTTTCTGTTGGACTCTCTTAGAGGACTAGTTTGGGACCCGCACCAACTAGAAATTCGAGCCACTCCTTGACTCCTTGCGGTTTCATATGGGTGGTTCTAAATCCTCAACGTTTGATTGAGTCGATTAAAACCAACGTAACGAAACTCAAGTCGAGTACCCGTAGGATCTAAAACCATAGAAAACTCATTGTGACTTTCGCGCGCTTTCACGATGTGCGAAAACCATAATTCACGCACTCGATGCACATTAATATCGAAGTTTACGTCATATGCACCTGTACAAGGGCTTCACAATCGATCAAACTTAAATCAGTCACCCAAACAATCGATCACGAGCTAAAATTTAAAGAAAATTAAATTTGACATTTTTTCGATTCGACAGTCGATGAAGTCTTCCGGATAACCCCGGATGATGAAATGGACTGCGCGGGTGCGTCCTAGACGTCGAATTTAGCTAGAGAGGACACCCATTTGGATATGGTTTGGTGCACGAGCGGAAAGTGCGCGAATCGAAGGTTTTTTTTTTTAATATTGAATATTATGAAAATTAAAAAAAAAAGAGATTTCTTTTTTCCTAAATCTCTAAAGTCCCTCACACGATTGAAAGCCCCCAGCCTCCCGATGCTTCGCCTCTTCTTCCCAATCGCGAGCCAAGTCGTGCTTTAGCTCTTCTTTCTCTTGGTTAGTTCAAGGCCCTCTCCTCTTGGTGATGACTTAAACCCGAGCGGGAATCCTAGCTGCGCTCTTCTCCCTCTCCCACACGTGACAGAGTTGACCCCGTTGTCCCTGTCCGAGGACCTTGTCCCGAAGCTGACGCCTGTTCCATCTTCCCCTCGACAGGCTGCAGGCTTCCTACTCGGGTAAGAGTCGATGCCGTGGATTTGTCTCCCGAAGCATTAGGCTGGCAATCCTCTTTCTTCCCGATGCTTCTCTCGCTGCCACCTTGCTCGTCACGTGACCTGTCACTCTTTGGTTGCCTCACCTCCGGTAAGTAAAGGGCATTTCTCCTCCTCCCCTTAGGCTATAATAGGCCTTCTGGGAGGGATGTTTAGGGTTGTTGCATCTTTGGCTGCTGGTTTCCCCTGTTTAGTTCATTTTGTGTGTGTTTGAGGTTGCTTGGAGGTGCTAAGGGTTTGTTACTGGATTTTTACTGGTCTTGTGCATTTGTTGTGGTATTCTTGGAGCTTTCGGGTTAGGAGTCTTGTGCTTTTGCATCAGGATAAGGTCTCCCTCCTCTCCTCCTTTCTTCAGTTGAGCCACGAAGTGCTTTTGATAAACTTTTGTTTTGTTCTCTGTGCTTGATTTAACATCAAGGGATTTACATCCCCCAGCATTCGCATACTTGATGTATGGGCCCTTGTTTTGTTCAGGCTAATGTTTTTTGTGGTATTTCTTTATCTGCATGCTGATCCTCAGCCTTACCAGAGAGTCTTGCTCTCTTTTAGCCTACATACTACTTGTGGCTCTGCTAGACACTTCACTGATGTAACTCGATCCCTTAACTTCACTGTTTGAAGGACTGTAATTCCTCTATGATTCATGATATTATGTGTCGTTTGAGCTTTTCCTTTATGGTAGAACTTCTTGTGGGATTTTGAGGAAAGATATTCACAGTGGATTTAACTTTAACTTAAACAGAGCATATCTGTTCCAAATTTAAAGGTTTCATTCGTAGGTGAAGCCTTGCAATTACTTTGTCCAATTCTAGAGGAGGAAATGGAACCTGATAGCCACACTTGTAACATTCTCATTAATGAAATGTTTAAAATGGGAGAAATAAGATTTGCCACATCAATTTTGAGACAAATGATTTGCTTAGAATATAGTGGGGAACACCATGCCAATAAACCTATGTTGGTAGAGTTAAGATGCTTGTCTGAATTCAGCCAAATTATCTATGTGGAAGCATTTCTGCTGTAGCAAATAAATGTGCAAATATTCATATATTTCGAAGTTGTCCTGGTTCCAAAATATTCATGGCTGTTCACTGACCCATGTCTCAACTCTCTTACTGCTCCAAAATTGATTTTTGTATATGCACCATACAACTGCACTCAATTCTTATATGTTTACCTATTCACCATCCCACATATTTACCATCTGTTTCTTATATGTTTACATTTATAGCACCTAAATTGCTGGCTTTTGCATTCATGCCACCCAAATTGTTAAGAATTATGCGGCATGTGTATAAATACTTTCAACTTATTTCCCTGCTGCCCTTAACCCTAATCTGCTGGTTGGTGTCTTCTTGTGTTCTTTTGGGATTTGCCTCCCTGCTATCCTTACCCGAAACTTGCTGGTTGGGCATTCTTTGTGTCGATTTGGGTGGTTTCCCTGCTGCCCTTACCTGAAACCTGCAGTTTGGGCATTCTTTGTGTTGATTTTGGGTGGTGCCTTTGCTGCTCTTACCCGAAATGGTTGGGCTCTTTGGTGTTGATTTGGTGGTCCCCTTTGCTGCCCTCGTCCCAAATCTGCTGATTTTAAAGTGGGATTAAATGCTTTAATCTTTGTGGTGTTGAAGAATTCGAGTGCCCTTTTCGAGAATTGGTTCGCTTGATGTTTGGAAGGAGTTTCAATGCCCAGCTCTTGGGCTGAATTGACTGCAATACGAAGCCCTTTTAATATTTGTTGGGGGAAGTCTAGTTGTACTTTGGGCCCCTTTTGAAGTGCGGATTTTGGGCATGTTTTTGATCCAATTGGGTGCAGCTTGGAGTCTTTTAAGATGTGCCTTTTGGAGATGTTTTGGGTTAACATTTGGAGCCTTTCAATGCATTTTTTTTGGATTCTTACATTGGAGGTTTGAAAAAAAGTTGGCTATCGATAAATGTGCCCATTTTGTCGGCTATTTGAGGTGTTATATTGGGTGAATATTTGAGGCTAACCCTCCCGCCGTTTTGGCCTCTTCTTTATACTATTTTTGGAGGTGGGTTAACCTTCTTCCTTTTTTCCATTTATTTCTTTTTAGGTTCTCTTTCCTTGCTTCTTAGTTTGGTTTAGGTGCTTATGTCTGAAATATAAGCGCACATATATAGCTGTGACTATATATGAACCATCAAACAAGGTCATAAGTTGGACAATTTTTGGGGTTCAAAGGCCTTGATGATAAAGACATCCGGTGGTAGAGTGGAATAATATCGCATCCTATGACATCAGGACTCGCCCCAGGTACTTGGTGAAAATGTACGATGACAATATTATTCACTGACACTAGACTAGCGATGACCTTTGACTTCTTAAGCTGCTGGAAGTTCTAGTTCGACAGTGTGATCGATTTGTGGACAATCAATTTTTTTCTAGAAATACAACGATCAGAACATATACGCTATTTACAAAATATTTTGACTACTAAAAGCATGTATAAATTTTGCTCATATGCGTGAAGCCTATATGCATGCCATAATATAAACTTTAAGTAATACAATCTGATTGTCCACTTGGCAATTACCTGTACTGAGCTAAGGATTCCGCTTCTAAGATTGTATTGTTGGAAATTTCTAATTAAATGTCGGGTTCTTACATATAAATGACCGATGATTGCCTTCGAAGTCCCTTGAGAATAACTAAAATCTGAGCCTACTCCGACCCGAATGCTTACGGTTTTCTTTCTTTTCTCGGATTTTTCGTACGTTTCATAC